TCCTTCCTTCCTTCCTTCCTTCCTTCCTTCCTTCCTTCCTTCCTTCCTCGCTCTCTTTTTGGTTCTGGGCATTTCGAGGACTTCACACATGCTCGGCAAGTGCTCTGCCGCAAAGCTAAACCCCAAGTCCCCTAGTGACCATCTTAAACTCAAACAGACCTCTTGACCTTCCACCTCTACCCGCCACCACCACCAAACCTAACCCATTTCTCCCCACATCTTCTCCATTTCAGTAGCTATCACACATTTCTTCCTGTGGCTGTGGTCAAAATTTTGAGTCATATTTAATTCATCTATTTTTTTTGTACTTTCTATTTCATATTAATTCTACTTTCAAAATTCATGCTAACACATGACCGCTTCGCAGCATCAGTGCTGCCTAATCAAGCCATCATCCCTGCTCTCCTAGATTTCCACTAACATTCTCCTGAGCTCTCTTGCATTTCTACAGCCTGTTTCCTTTACGATGTCAGACTGAACTTGTAAATGTAAATTGACCCAGAACCATCACATCTAGATTAAATCCAAAATTTCTCTGAATTTTATAAAGACCCCCAGGACTGACTCCTGCCTGCTCCTTTCAGACTGATGCTCTCCACTGTCCCCCACCTGTTCAGGTGCAGGACTTGCCTTCTCCTTCCTCCCTAGACAAGCTCATCCCCACAGCCCCACGGCCTGTGCATTTGCTGTTTTTATCTCTGCTAGATGCACTTTCCCAGATATTCCAAAGTCTTGCTCCCGAATCTATTGAAACAGTCAAGACCATCCTAAGACATTCTGTAACTTATTCCTCTGCTCTGTTTTTCTTGTGTCACCAACCACTCTAGGAAACCATCCTACATTTATTTTGTCATTGTCTCCCTCCCAGCATAGTGTTAATTCTTGACACCACAGACTCTTGGTCATATTCCCTACTGTAAACCTGGTGCCATGCACAATGCCTGGCATACAGTAAACCTTCAAAATTATTTTTTAAAAGACTCCAAGATTAATAAAAATGTTCAGTACAACTTAAAGGAAACTTGGATTTGTCTTACAAGGATTCAATAAAAATGTACATACCAAATAATATAAAGCAAAAAACCAAAACCTCTAATTTTTAATGATATTTTAGAATGCACTAATGCATCAAAGATTTGTATGAAATTTGTATGAAATTAAAATTAAGCCTTTGAAAGACTATTCATTGTGTGGATTAATACCTAAAATATGTTTCGCTCCCCCTGCTTGAGAAACTAATTATTCAAATAAGAATTAAACCTAAAACAATAGGCATCTCAGACTAAACATAATAGTGATAAGACATTATTTATTGGATACTAAGTAAGTTTCAGGCTCTATTCTAAGCACTTTGTGGGTATCAACTCACTTAATCCTCACAAAAACTCTGCCAGGCAGGTACTATTGTTATCTCATTTTATGGAAAAAGAAACCAAAGCACAGAGAGGAGAAACATTTTTCCCAGAGTCACACCGCTTGTAAGAGTAAACTTGGAGTAAACTGAAAATCCAAATCTCTGCCTTCTGGTTATAAAGTCTGCATTATCTCCCAAATTTTTCCTTCTTGACCATTATGACACCAGAGTGGGGTGAAATCCTTGGGCTAGAGGAGAATCAGGAGAAGTGTCTATCCATTCTCTGGACCTAAGCTTCTTCTGATCTCAAGTTGGTAAAACAAGGGACTCCATGCCTTAGCCATGAGACCTTTACCCCCTTGCCTGAGTGTGTTGTGGTCCTGAGACAGTGAGTCCTGACTGGATCATCAAGACTTTTGACAGGAGGAGGTAGAAATGGGAATAAGAAGTTCTAAGAGGGATGTTAAGTAATTAAGAGCTAAGCCTTAATGGAGAACAAAATTGACCAAATTACGTTCTTAGATGGTGCATGTATGAATATGTAAAAAGGAATCCCACTACTATGTATAATCGTAATGCACCAATTAGAATAAATAGATTTTTAAAAATAAAGGTTATAATGCCCTAATTTTAAAAATTGTAAGTAAATAGAAGAAAGACCATTAGAGGAAAGGGAAGCAGGGGAGGAGGGGAGGGAGAGGGGAAGTACTGAGGACTGAATTGGAGCAAATTATATTCTATGCTTGTAGAATTACGTCAAAATGAACCCCAATATTATGCATAACTATCATGCACGACAAAAAAATTAAGAAACAACAAAGTTACCATTTCCGAATCACCGATGACAAAAGTTATTGGAAATTATGATCAGAGGAAAAAAAAGGTGCTTTGGGGGTGGGTGTTCTGTGGGTGATATGGAATGTTGGTAAAGGAACAGAGAGAAGGAAAGACGGAAGGAAGGGGAGGGAGATAAATGAGGGAAGTGAAAGAAGGAGGAGGCAGTGACAAGGAGGGAGGGTCTACTGCTGGAAAGTCCTAGAGGAGTCACATTTGTCTGCCTGTAGGACTTCCTGCTCTGTGCTGATGTCTCCTGAATTTTCTTGCAGCTCTGCTCTGTGAACCTGACGGTGAGTTGCACTTCCTTTACTTCCTCACAGTCTGTCACTCAGGTCAGATCAGGAGACCTGTGGATGGCCCTCTGAGCAGCCCCTACCTGTCCAAGATGCATCTGGTGACAGCTGCTGAGGTGTACAGACATCAGTGGCTCCCCTGAGCCCAGGCTGCTGAGCCGTGTCTGCCCAGCTGGGTGATCAGGTCTCGCCTGGCCTTCCCCTTCCTTTCTGGGAAGTCTCAGCACAGGGATGAAGATGCTATTTGCACAAAAGAGGCAGAGGGTGCCAAAGGCTGGTGTTAGAAGAGTCTCTGTCCTCCCTGCCCCAGGGGCTTCAAGTCCCCTGGGGACTCTGCCATGGGTGATGGAGGAAAAGCTGAAATCACAGAGCTGTGGAGAACAACACTGAAGTCCGTCCCCAGGCCACGTGCAACGAAGTCGTACTGTGCCTCCTGCCTATTTTTAGCTCCCCTCTGCAGCCACAGTTGTTGCCCCAGTTCAGTTTCCTCTCTCCGACTGGTTTATGCAAACGTACTTCATTGCTCTGATCCTGATTCAGAGTCTTGACTTTCTCAGAAGAGGGGAGTAGGAAAGTCTTCTGCCATGAGAAATCTCACTAAAGCAGCTTCCAATATAATATATGCTAGAACCGCTCTCGTGTGCCTAAGATACTAACCTAAGGGTTCAGAGAGGACGTTGTGCTACCTCCAGGGATCAGGGATTCCTGTGACCAGAGAGATGGGAATCACCTTGGCCCTCTAAGTTCCTTACCTAATATTTGTCCAAGTCCAGCTCCTGCTTGGTGTTAATGTCACACGAGCTTTGTTCTTGGTCTCTCCTTTACCCTTAACCTCAGGTGCCAAATTCTAGCCTAAGCAAAAATCCATAGTTACATCAAGGATAAAGAAACAAAATTCCCAGGTATTTCCAGGTAATCTCTGCTGCCTGGGAATTAATGGCATTAAGCTTGACCTGCAAGTCTGAGCTCCAGGCTCTTGTAGTCAGCCCTGTGTGGCTTCCAGCTCCACCTGCTCCCCTGCCCTGGATAGAAGCTTGAGTGGATTCTAGGTGCCCAAATGCCTGTTTTATTCCTTTCTCTATTCAGCTCCAAAAGCTGTAATGCTCCTCTGTTTTCTGGGGCCCAGCTTTCTGAGGACAAAAAGAACAGGGTATTCCATGCCCCAGGTCAGAGGGAACATTCTGGTAACCACAGATGAAACTGAGGTTTAAAAAGACCCGGGGAAAAGCCTTGTGTGTGTGGGGTGTGGGCGGGGCAGAATTGGAAATGATAGACATTAGTCTAGGAATCATCTTTCAGTGATCCAGAGTACTCTCGCTGGCATCTGGTGAGGAGAGGAAGAGGTTTCTTTCAGGAAAAAAAAAATAAATAAATAGAGCCTCCCATGTCAGAGGTTCTAAGAGTTGGATAAGCACGTGCCCAAAGATTTGTGAGATTTCATAGATTTCTGCAACTGGGAGTGCTAAGGGGAGAGGGGAGAGTAGAAGGCACCTTCACCATCTTTATTTACCCAGAAAAAAAGTCCCTAAGGCCCCAAAGGATCTACCCCTAAGGCTTAAGGCATGGACTAAATTTTCTTCTCCTGTGGCTGCAGCAGAGGTCTGTGTCGAAGTCCCAGATCAAGGGAATGGGGCTGTGTGGATGTCCACAGGGCACTTCCCAGCAATGGGACTAGCGACAGTAGGGACAAGACATAGTCCACACAGAGGGGTTTCAGTTCCTCTGTGCTGTTCCCATCCTGACTGATTCTTCAGGTCCACATTCTGTCTTTGAAACAGCATGTGTCTGAGACGGGAGGGGAAAGAGAACAGAAGAGAATAACAACCAGGTGATAGACCATGGTCCACAGAAATGTATTCGCTTTTATTAAAAATCAAAGCTTCCCCGTCTCCAATGCCAACTGCAGCAACTGTCTTCAATATTCCTGCCCTGGCTTCCAGAAAGGGGTTTTTAGTTCCTGGGCAGAACTTCAAGAATTATAAGATCCTAGTCACAGTGTTGCCTTCTGGAAGTGGCTGCTGTGGCCCATGGCAGGATGTGTGAGGATGGACAGGGTGGGTCCGTGGCAAGGGGAAGCCCATGGGCCACTTTAGGGAACATAGGGGTATTGTGTGGCTGAGGACGGAATACCTCTCACCAGGAACTGTGAACCCCACGGCCCTGGACTCTATCTGTTTAATTATTCTCTCCAGAGCTGTTTCTACATCTTGTGCTGACAGCCAGGCCTTCCAAGCCCATAGAGGGGAGCTCACTGACCCTGACCTGTGAGACCCGGCTCCTTCTTCAGCCGCCACCTGTCCAACCCCAGTTCAGCTTCTTCAGAGATGGCCACCACCGGGGATCAGAACGGAGCAGCTCCCCAAAGCTCCAGATCCCCAATGTGTGGAAGGAAGACTCGGGGACCTACTGGTGTACCATGACGACAGCGGGGAATAAACCCCCCAAACAGAGCCAGAGTTCTTACATACAGGTGCAGAGTGAGTATCTAAGGATTGTGCTTCCAGAGTCCGCTGGGGAGAGGATGGCAGATGCTACCTCTCCTGTCCCTGGGATGGCAGAGGTGGAGGGAGGCTTCAGCTATCCTCGTATCCCTCTCTCTCCAGGGTCACCTTGACCAGGTGGCAAGAGAAGGCTTGGTAGAAGTGTGTGGAATAGACTACTGGAGAAGGCTTGTGTGTGTGTGGGGGGGGGGCTTGATTTTGAAAGAGTACAAAAAGAAAATTTTATTATTATGAACCGTGTCATACCATATCAGATTGACACTTCTGTGACATGATCTCCTGCAAAAACCCAACATTTAGTCAGATGCCAGGGTGCACGCCTGTAATTCCAGTGACTTGGGAGGCTAAGTCAGAAGGATTGCAAGTTTGAGGTTAGCAAGACCCTGACTCAAAATAAGAATTAAAAAGGGTTGGAGGTATAGCTCAGTGGTAGAGCACCCCTGGGTTCAATATCCAGTACAGAGTTGGAGGTGTGGCCGGAGTATGACATTCAAGTCTACTACCTCCAAAATATTAGGTAGACCCAGACTTCTAAAAACTCAACACTAGTGAAACTAAACCTGCTATCTCTACCACGGCAAAAACCATCGAACAGCTCGTACACAGCAGGTGCCATTTTTGTGCTTCACATATATGTTTAATTGAAGCGCCACACCTGCAGGAGATAACTATCATTGCATCTCCATTTACAGATGAGAAATTGAGTCTTATAAAAGTAATTTGATCAAGCATGCACCGCAAGCAAGAGTTGGAACCAGTATCCACATCTAGGCAGATTGACTCACAATTTGGACTTATAATCACTATATTACTGTGCCTTAAAAAAAATGAAAGTTTGAGACTGAGGGGAATGGAAGTCACATTGTCCTAGGCAAAGAGGAGATGCCACATTTTCCATGGTGATATTATCATATCTTTCTAACCCTATCATCACCACCAAACTAGAACTGATTCCAAATCAGTAGAGCCTCCCCTCCAGTCAAACTTTATACATCATGACTTTGCCTTCAGCTTTGCCTTCAAGACCCCCATACCTACTCCCTGTGCTCCAAACACTCCCTACTCGGGTTTCTCCCACATTATCTGGTGTTTGTGCAGGAATTCCTGTCTCTGACGTGAGCTTGGAGACTCAGCCTCCAGGGGGACAGGTGATGAAGGGAGACAAACTGGTCCTCATCTGCTCGGTGGCTAAGGGCACAGGAAACATCACCTTCGTCTGGTACAAAGGGCATTTGGGTTTAAACCTGGAAACCAAGACCCAGCATTCACGGACAGCAAACTTCGAGGTCGCACCAGTGACGGAGAGTGACTCCGACCAGTACTACTGTGCAGCTGACAACGGCCACGGCCCCAGCCTCAGCGGACTGGTGGACATCGCTGTCAGGAGTGAGTTCCAGTGCGGTGTCAATGGGCCTCTCCTGGGGTGCTGGGGTGCCTGCAGCTTGGCCGGCCGGGCTCCGTGTTCCCCTGGGGTGCCTTGTGGAAGTTCCATGGGTGGAGTCTCTGGGGACAGGCAGGGATTTTGGCTCCACTGCACCAGTGGAGACACGTCTCTGACAGTCCACTGTCCCTGTCAGTTCCAGTGTCCCGCCCTGTGCTCACCCTCAGGGCTCCCAGGGCCCAGGCTGAGGTGGGGGACGTGGTGCAGCTTCACTGCGAGGCCCTGGGGGGCTCTCCCCCGATCCTGTACCAGTTTTATCATGAGGACGTCACCCTGGGGAACAGCTCGGCGCCCTCTGGGGGAGGAGCATCCTTCAACCTCTCCCTGACTGCAGAACATTCTGGAAACTACTCCTGCGAGGCCGACAATGGCCAGGGTGCCCAGCGCAGTGCGGCGGTGACTCTCAATTTCACAGGTATAGCTTCGGTGGTGGGGTCGTCTCCATCCGCGTCCGCCCCAGCACCCCAGGAGAGGCCCATCGACACCCCGGTGTCTCTGCTGCTCTACTCAGGACGAGGGCTCCCGTGGGAGGAGTGGAGGTCGGGTGCCTGTCTTCTTGCATCAATGTGAACAGCCGCAGATCCCTAAATAAATAAGTACATCCGTCCTGGGAGAGCAGCCGTTGAGCAGAGCCCGTACCAAGAGGTCTGTCCCCAAACCCAATTCCTTCCTACAGCAGCTCACCCCCAGGTCTCCCCCTCAGTGCCTGCCGAACCCAGAGGCGAACATCTTACTTCAGGAGTCGTTGAGGGGCTGCTCGGCAGCCTTGGTCTCATCACTGCAGTCCTGTTACTTTGCTACTGGCTCAAGAGAAAAATAGGTTAGTATTCATAGAGGTGGGTATTCTGTGACCTCAGATTTCACCGAAATAGGCTGGGAGGGTAACATGCAAACGGCAAAGGATAGATATATGCTTTTAGCCATATATTTATCCTTTGCAGTATACAATTTGCAAAATTTAGCCAATTTAGTAAAATTCTTTATCTCCCCACATGTCATCAATTGAGGTTCAGCTGATATCATATTCTTCTGTGATTTAACTTTTTTTATAGAGGAACTTAATACTTGAATTAATCAGCCCCTGGAAGAGAAAAGCGCTTAACAGCTCCAGCTAAGCCTGCTCCTCTCCTAGCTCTAAAGTCAGTGCAGAGAGTCTTATTTATCTTTTGGGTTTGCCAAAAGCTACTCCCTACTCCCCCCAAAAAGCTCATTCACATATCCACATGTTCTAATCATTGCTGGAAACTTCACTCTTGAGTGGAAATGCCATTTTCTCCAAGACACTTCAGCGGGTCACACGGCCTCCCACGGTTCTCTTCTGTTATGAATTCCGGGTGACTCAGCCTCCCACTTTATCACCAATGACAGTTACCTATTCCTTGGTATACTGAGCTCCGGGCTCTTGCTCTCCCCTGAGCGAGTGGGAGATGGAGCAGGAGAGGACAATGTGAGATTTTCATTTTAAATTCTAGACTTTTCCAGCATCTTTGGGCACGTCAACTATAACATGGCTGTGGCAACACCTGCCTGTGAGGACTTTGGGCAGGATAAGATTCTCATCCTCACATCATAGACATGAGAGTTCAGAGACCTGGGCTCCACTCCTAGATCCGGTGCTTTTTGCTTTGGGGCAGCTCATTTATATTCTGGACCTGAGTCTCCTCATTTGTGAAAGGAAGGCTCTGCAAATAATTGCCCGGATGTCCTCTGGGCACAGGGTGGCATCCACAGTGGGCATTCTGGCAGGAGGTGCATCCCTGTGTACCAGGGCTATAAGGGAGCCGAGAAGGAGGTTCCTCCATTGACAGGTGCACTCATCTGTTTGACTTTCAGAAAGATGCTCAACCAGCGACCCACACAGGTAAGACCTCTGCTTTCTCTGTAGGTGCTACTGATGCAGGAAAACAAGAAAAATTTTAACTCTGAATTGTCCTTTTTTGTGTGTGAGCTGTTTTCCTATCTTCTCATACCTAAAAATCACACCTGAGTTCAGTGTACTTTAATTTTCTACTTCTGGTCTTGTAAGTTTCATATGATAACTAATTAATCATTTTTCCTATGTCTATCCCTTTCAATACATCTTCACAATAAGAAAGTTACATTGCTTTGACCAGCAGGACTGTCCATTTGTTCAAGCAGTCAATGTCTCAGTCAGTGTCTAAGGGTCTGTCTGTAGGCTGCAGAGACCCATGAACATATGGAAAGATCTTGAGAGTCCTAAAGTATTTCAGGGCAGGTGAGATATACATATACACATTTCTGTAATGTTAGACAGGAATAAACATACTGAAAAATTATTGATGACATTCTTTAGAAGTTTAGAGGAAGAAAACACTTTCAAATACGTCCTTCTAGGAATACCAGTGTTTATTTGATGTATTTTATATGTTTTTGTTTATGCCCAAAATAAACAGATTTTTCTTTTCCAAATCAGAGTGGCCCTCTTTCAGTGGTACATTCCATAGATGCCTGTTTAATTCTGCCTTTTCTTCAAGTTCCTTAGTGTGGTCAGCCACCTGTTTTCCTCTGGGGTGAATCATTATTTCTCTATCCAGGATTTAGTGAGCCTTTATAACTTAAGTGACATCATTTCAGGTGTGGGCTGTCCCACAGTGAATCAGTCAGCTAAGACTTGTGGAATATGTGCACTAGGGCGACTGCAGTGTCCACACTTAGGGCCACGGCTTATACGGTAGGATGTGCCTTCCAGTTCCCTGGACTGATATTCTGTCCAGGACTCTTCCTTAAAGAGCTTCTCTCCTTCGCTGTTTTACGATCTTGGATAGATAGGTCTGGGACATCTTGAATGCTATTCCAGACAGCTCACACGTGTTTCTGTGTTTGTAGGAGCCATTCCAGTCCTGAACCTCAAGAACCCAACTATCTCAACTCACCTGACCCAGTGCAGCTACCGCCTGTATACGAAAATGGTAAAGTTTCTCAAATGACCTGGGCCAACGTAGGCATAGCATTTGAGTCAGCTTTTCATCACTGTGACCAAAAGACCTGACAAGGACAAGTTTAGAGGAGAAAAATTTATTTGGTGATTTCAGTTTCAGAGGTCTCAGTCCATAGACGGCCGGCTCCATGCCTTGGGGCTCAAGGTAAGACAGAAAGAACATTGTGGAAGAAGGTTGTGGTAGAAGAAAGCAGCTCGGGACATCACATCAGGAAGCAGAGCCAAAGTCCCCTCACCAGGGACAAAATATATACCCCAATGGCACAGTCTCAATGACCCACCTCCTCCAGCCACACCTTTCTGCCTAAAGTTACCACCAGTTAATACCCAGCAGAGGATCAATGCACTGGTTAGGTGAAGACTCATAACCCAGTCATTCTACCTCTAAACTTTCTTGCATTGTCTCACACATGAGCTTTTGGGGGACACCTCATACTTAAGCCATAATAAGCTAAGGAGCTGAGCCATGAGCTGACCTCTGCTGGCCAAACCAGATCCTGCTGTGTCCCCGCCTCCTCTACAAATAAAGGATCCATCAGCCTCCAGGGCTGGGACAGGCGGTAGACACACAGAGTAAACTGAATGATAGGAAGAAGGGACTTTGTCATGAGGTCGAAGCCATTTATGGTCCTGCTACCTGGGTACAGCATGACAGTTGTGCTATAGAACTCTTTATGTGCTAAACTGGATAATTCGCCTGCAAACTGTACTGGAAATTATTACTAATCAAACTGCTACAGCCTTTGGCCACACAACAGGCCCAAATGTGAGTGCCTATCTATCAAGACTGCTTGGCATTAGATTACCCACTAGCTGAGGAAGGGGAAGTACATGAAAAGTTTAACAGTTCAGACTGTCGCATCCAAATAGATGACCACGGACAGACACTTAAAGACATAGCCAGCAATATCAGAAAACTAGCACAGGTGCCCGTCCAAACCTGGAAAGGCATTAAAGATTGGAATCCAATCTCACTATTTGCAGGATGGTTTTCAGCCCTTGGTGGATTTAAAAGCTTAATTGGCATAGCAGGTCTTCTGCTGTTAACCTATTTATTACTCCCACGTTTGGCTTCCCTGTGCATTAAAACTATTGGGTCTACTATAAAAATAGCTGTTAAAAGAAAGACAGCAACTGAGATCATAACATTATATAAAGCTTTAAAGCCAAAAAGAAGATGATGATCTTTGATTGAAATAAAAATCATCAAAGGGGGGAATGAAGCAATCCAGAGACCCCCCCACCCACATCCAGAAGACCCTTGCCATAATTAAGCTTCTCCTCTTGTCAGATCAGCAGGATGCCTGCAGAGGTTACTGTGGTCGGTATTTCCTCTTTCTTGTATATGCCAGGTTTGCACACAAAAGCTGTGATAGAGTCAAGTCTGCAAACTTGTTGTAAAAAACAATATTATCTCTGTTTTCTTGGTAAAAAAAAAATTGTGAAACCTGTGTCTGGTCTCGGGCATGGAACAGAGAGAACTTGTCCTGTGAATCTCCAAGGACCTCCTCCCGCCAACACTGGGTATAAAGCTCAAAGAATTTCCAAAATCTTTGCTCAGAGAAAGAATTCTTAGGCGAGAGCCACCTCTGAACCCTGAAGTCAATAAACCTGCTTCCTGAAAATTCCTTGGGTGTCCAGTCTTCTGTCCTACTTCAAAGAGTCCTTTCTTCTCTTGCAGTGAATGTCATGCGTGGGGATGATGTGTACTCCCTGGTCTACCATGTCCAGCAGGAGCAGGAATCAGGAGCAGGTGAGACTTGAGGCTGGGGATGAATTTGCCTCTGACCTTTGTCTTTCCTTCTCTTGGAACCAAGAAGATAATAATTTTTCCTTTGGATACTATGGTAGTCATACTAGATCGAAAAGCAAAATAATAATAATAATGATGAAAATCAATCTAAGGGAAATACCCAGAAGATGAAGAAGCCTTTATTAGTGGGCATTTATTGAAAGACTTTAAATATAAGTAGAATCTCACAGCACTTACTTTTTCTTTCACAGCTGAACACATGAGGACACAGGTGGAGAGTAAGGTGAGACGGGTTCCTATTGTTTTTTTTCTCCGTGCACATTCTCTGTTTCCCCTGAGGACGGTTCACAAACTTCTTAAATGATAGACACTTAGAGGAAAAAAAAAATGTCATGATCTCTTATCTACCATCACAATGGAGGAATTTCTGTACAAGGAAGTTTTGGAGTCTTACATGTACATTTGCTTTAGCAATAAGCATATAGGTTATTTGTAGTTCAATTGCTGCTATTTCAGCCCTGTAAACAAAAGACCTGACAAGAACAATTTCAGAGGAGGTAAAGTTTATTTGGGGCTCAGATTTCAGAGGTCTCAGTCCATAAATGGGCTCTATTGCTCTGGACCCAAGTGAGGTGGAACTTCATGGCAGAGGAAAGCAGCTCACGACATGGCCATCAGGAGGCAGACAGCGAGCTCTGTTCATAAAATATATACTTTGAAAGTACCCCCCCACAAACACACCTACCTCCTCCAGCCACATCCTCCTGACTACAGTTAAAATTAATCCATTGAAGTGGATTAATGCAGTGATTGGGTTAATGCTCTCATGACCCAATCATTGCATCTTTAAAATGAAATTGCATTATGTCACACATGAGCTTTGGAGGAACACCTCCTATCTAAACCATATCGAATTTTTAAAAATTCTATTTATTTGAAAATATTTTTCCTAAAATACTGTTGGAATATATATATATATATATATATATATATATATATATATATATATAT